TATTATTAGCTGTGTGTGCATCTTTCAGTGGAGGTTTTTCTATTTTTACGTATCTTGTTAGAGTAGATTGGCTGCAGCCTAACAAGTAGAGGACTTGGATTTTGGGCATTAAAATGTATTTTCCTTGAGCCATAGGAAGTGTTTGGGAGTCTCTCTTTTTGTAACTGTTCTCATGGATTGCTTCCTATTTGAAGAGTTATAATTGAGTTTTTATTTTTTAGGTAAGTTAGTTATAAATACTATGTTAATAAAATGAACCTATGATATTATAGCTTTCCATAACAGATTTTTTAAAGTTCAGAATCCTTTCTTTTCTAGAAAGGATTTTTACAGATTTCTAAGGAGAAATAAAAGGAAGCAGCCTTTTAAAGATTACTTTTTTTGATAAAGGTTTCAGCTAACAAGGGTGAAATTGGTGATGCCACTCCATTTAATGATGCTGTTAATGTGCAGAAGATTTCTAACCTTTTGTCTGATTATGGCTACCATCTCAGAGGAAATGAGGTATGTTTGCGCTTATGTATTTTTTTGTATGTGTGTAGTTTCGTTCTTTTTTTCTTTTTCTTTTTTTAAAACATGTTTTTATTGATTTCAGAGAGGAAGGGAGAGGAGAGAGAGATAGAAACATCAATGATGAAACATCATTGATCGACTGCCTCCTGCATGCCCCTTATTGGGGATCAAGCCTGCAACCCTGGCATAAAATCATGACCTCCAGGTTCATAGGTTGACATTCAGTCAGTGAGCCACACTGGCCAGGCCCTTATTTTTTTGTATGCTTACATGGCTGTATCAATGTAGTTTCATTCTTAAAGAATTTAAACCTTTTATTGAAGTATATACTGCAAATATGTTACAAATTATAAATGTATAGCTTGGTGAATTTTCACAAAGTGAACATACCACATCCTGAAAATTAAATTGCCAGAACTCTTTTATGCATAGATGCCCCCTCTTGTGTCTCCCTCCAGTAACTACCTCCCCTGCTCCACTCTATTGACATCTAACAGTATAGATTATTTTGTCTGTTTTGATTTTTATATAGATGGAATCATACAGTATATGTACATATATTTTTTGCACTTGTTTATTAATATTTTTAAGTCTGTGCTTCAAACTCTGTTTCAGGTCTTGTACAATGGATTCACTGGTAGAAAAATCACATCACAAATTTTCATCGGCCCCACTTATTACCAGCGTTTGAAGCATATGGTGGATGACAAGATTCATTCTCGTGCTAGGGGGCCTATTCAGATCCTTAACAGACAGCCCATGGAGGGTAGATCCCGGGTAAGAGAGCTGCTTCATTGTCAGTGACATAATTCACATAGTAAAGGCAAGATAAATGTTTGTTTCTTTCCTTTTATTAACCAGTTAATGAGTTGGTTATCTAGCATCCTTCAAAGTTGACCAGTGATTTGTTTCTCAGTGGAAACTCAACTGATTTCATGTTTTTGTGTATTAAGAGTACTAAGGAAGCCATTACCATCCACCTGTCTGGTGATCTGAACAATGCATTTTATTTTACTCCCATGCTGGGAAAACCTCTCATTCACTCATTCTTTCCACTCCCTTTGCCAGCAGCAATGTTACCATTTCAGGCTTGATTACCCGGGAGACTCATTCATGGAAAAGCTACTTTATTGAGATCAAATTTTATTATTCATTTTTGAGTACAGAGTTGAATTCTAGTAAGTTAAGTGATAGCATGATGAGACTTGACTCTGTACTTCATTGTATTTTATGAGGAAAATTATATATATTAAAAGGCTAATATGCTAAGTGTCCCTCCCTCCGTCTGACTGGTCGCTATGACACGCACTGACCACCAGGGGGCAGACGCTCAATGCAGGGGCTGCCGTGACGTGCACAGGCCATTTACAGGGAAACGGCACCGTGGACCTGGCATCCACAAAGCAACACTCGGCTTCCCTGAAGTGGGACACAGGCCCCGTCACCACCCTGGAGTGACAGCCCACCAAATCACAGCTGACGCTCCCAAGACCCCATGGCTCAAAATGCGGTCCACAGCCCAATCCAGCCCAGAAACGGTGGCTGTGGGCGCTGGGTAATGATGTCACATAGCAATGCCCAGCTTTCTTTCCCTAGCAACTAGCCTCCTTGGAGTTTCTTCAGCCCAGAAAGATGACTTGCTTTATAGCCAGGTGCAAACATTTTACACTTTAACCAAATGTCTGTGAAGCATTTTCTTATGCCTCATCTCATTTGACCCTCACAGAAGTCCTGGAGTAGGCAGATAGGAGACTTGGTGGAATCCTATTTTCTTTTGATTAGCCAGAAAACGGAGTTTTAGAAAGCTTAGAAATTTGACTCAACTGAAAAGAAGTAAGAAATGGTGGACCTTAAAAATGACTTCAGGTTTTCTCACTGTGCAGAATACAGTGGGGCCTTGACTTACGAGTGTTCTGGCTCTCTATCCCTCTCCCTTCTTCTCTGTAAAAAATCAATAAAATATATTAAAAAAAAAAAAAATTCGGGTTACGAGCCAGCTTCAGATACCCCACCACTAGTTGGTGCAGCGAACGTCACAGTGAACGCCACAACATCAGCCCAGCATCACGTGTCTCACTCGTTCACTTAAATGATTTGACATACGAGTAATTTGAGTTACGAGCTCCGTCACGGAACGAATTAAACTCGTAAGTCAAGGCCCCACTGTATAGTCAAACACTGCTGCAGTTAAATATTTTACCCTTTGTTCTACCTGCGTGATCTACAATAATAATCTGTGTTGTGCTGATATTTACTGCTGTGTTGCTGACAATTACCTGAAAGAGAAGTTGGGGTGCTTCCCTGGGATGGAAAAAATTTAGCTACATCAGAAAGCAGGTCTAATTAAGCAAGTTTATTCTATATCCATACTAATAAAAGGGTAATATGCTAATTAGGCCAGATGTCTTCTGGATGTCCTTCTGGACATCCTTCCAGACAAAGCCACAGTGGCTGCAAGGGCCGAGGGCCTGCAGCCGTGGCTGCGAGGGCTGGTCCAGCACTACGGTTCCTTTTGCAGAGGCCACGGGAGAAGGCGCCGCAGGAGAAGGCAGAAGGGAGAAGGCCGGCGCTAAGGGAGAAGGGAGAAGGTGGCAGTTAGGCAGTTAGGGGGATCAGGCCAGGAGGAGAGAGCTGTTAGGCAGTTAGGGGGATCAGGCTGGCAGGGGAGCAGTTAGGGGCATCAGGCAGGCTGGCAGAGGTGGTTAGGAGCCAGTGGTTCCAGATTGTGAGAGGGATCCTGGGTTGTAGAGGGTGTAGGCTGGGCTTAGGGACACCCCCTCCCATGCACGAATTTCGTGCACTGGGCCTCTAGTATATATATAAAAGGCTAAGTTGACTAGCGCATGCGTGATACATATCAAGCTCTTGTGCCAATCACATGCACGTGTTTCGATCTGTCATTGTCGATTGTGAATTTGGTTGACAATTCTTGGTTCACAAAATACCACATGAGGGCGCGCACGTACAATGCGATTGAAACTTCGTGGCCCATGCGCAGAAGTTGGTATTTTGTGGAAGAGCCACACTCAAGGGGCCAAAGAGCCGCATGTGGCTCGCGTGCCGCAGTTTGCCGACCACTGCACTAGTATGGTATATGTGAGAATCTAATGTGTTTACTCTATGTGGGGACCTTCTAATGCACATTAAATAGTTGATTGACTTCTCCCCTTCCCCCACATGTAGAGAAAATGCTAGGATATACAAATTAGAGTCTAGTTTTCCTTTACTAATGTCATTCTTTACCTATGCTATTAGTCAAGGTGCTGTTGATATCTATATATATAAAAGGCTAATATGCAAAGTGTCCCTTCGGGAGTTCCATTGGGAGAATAGGAGCTCGATCGCTTGCTATGATGTTTGCTGACCACCAGGGGGTGGTGCAGAACATGGCGGGTGATCAGTGGCGGCGGCGGGGTGCTGAGGGAGTGAGGGAAGGAGGCGGCGGGAGGCTGGGGGAACTGTGTGGTGGAGGCGCGCGGGTAGCGAGGGAAGGAGGAGGTGGGGAGGCGGGGAACTTGATTGGCCCTGATCGCCGGCCAGGCCTAGGTACCCTACCTGTGCACGAATTTTGTGCACCAGGCCTCTAGTAGAAAATAATACAAAATAATCTGCTTTTCTCTTAACAGGGATGGTGGCCTGCGTTTTGGTGAAATGGAACGAGACTGTCAGATTGCCCATGGGGCAGCCCAGTTTTTAAGGGAAAGACTGTTTGAGGCATCAGATCCATATCAGGTTCATGTTTGCAATCTTTGTGGAATAATGGCGATTGCTAACACCAGGACCCATACGTATGAATGCAGGGGCTGTCGGAATAAAACCCAGGTGTGTATAGACTTTCTGGCCAGTTGATAACTGTTTAGGATATAACTATGTTGGGCTAATTACCCAGGCAGATTTAGTGTGATGGAACAGATTGGCATTTTCACAATTTTGAATAGCATGCCTCTGTAAGATTCCTAGTTTTAAATGAGAAAAACAAAATTTGATTTTTCCCTAAAAATCAGTTTAAACTTTACTGTGGTAATATCACTAAGCTGTTCATTTTTTTCGAAAAGGCCTTGTACAAGAAATTTTTAAAAGTGGGTTTTTAAAAAGCCTTTTGCTTCAGGAGGGTGCTTATGTCTGGCAGAAAGGGTCAAATACCAAAGCCTACTAGGAGAAAGAATCACCTTGGGCCAAGTTAGTAGAATGAGTTGTATCAGCCTATCTTTTTGTTTATCTTCAGCACCAAGTCTTTACCTTTTTCTGGGCTAGGGAAGTGGGCTCATTTCAGTATAACTTTGCTAATTACTTTCTTTTTCTTTCTTTCAGATTTCTTTGGTGCGAATGCCTTATGCGTGCAAACTGTTGTTTCAAGAGCTTATGTCTATGAGTATTGCACCTCGAATGATGAGTGTTTAGCTCTTTTAAAAGATTCTCAACAAGACACTTATCAATGCCTTTTGTGTCTTTTTATGATAACGACTTTTAAAAATAACAAATATGTGTTACATTGTGACAAAAAGCATTTTATTTGTTTTGTTTGATGATATGCATGCTTTTCTTCTGTAAACAGGTAATAAATTTTTGTAGATAGTCTTGATGTGTTATCTCTGTGTAAAGTCGGTGAATATAACAAAGGTGTTAGTGGACTGGATGAAAAGAAACTGGTTATTAGGCAAGAACAGGGTAGTAGTTATCCATGACTATGTTTAGCTATGCAGACTAATATATTCTTCAGGTTTATAGCTTGGCACTTTCACCTGTTTAAAAAAAAGAAAAAAAATTAGTTAACATATATGTACATGGTTGACTTTCTAATTTTTAGGTGGCTTAGTGTTTCCAAATAAATGAAGTTAAAATGTGGGGGGATAAAGGATATGTAACTGCATAGATCAGTGATGGTGAACCTTTTGAGCTTGGCATTGTCAGCATTTTGAAAAACCCTAACTTAACTCTGGTGGCCGTGTCACATTATATAAATTTTTTTGATAATTGGCAACCATAGAA